GGCGATTGTACCGCACCATCTTGGATTGCAGTAGAATTAACATAAATAAATACTGGGTTAGTAATCAATCTCTACACCAAACAAGTAATCAAAGATGTATGTAACCGTTAGTTGGAGAACTAAGAGCAGGCATGGAGCAAACAACTCGTCGCGAGGGTACACGGCGCAGTTGAGGCAGAGGAAGAAGATGAATAGTAAAAACCTTAAAGGAAACTTTTTTTTTTTTCTTTCGCTCGTTCGGCGAAGAGAGATGAGAGAATAATTATATTTAGAGACTCGTGCTGATAACGTGTTATAAAAGGGTTAAAGTTTGAGAGAATAACCTTTTTAGTAGTAGGTGCAAAGTAGATGTAAAATGCCACACTAAAACTTATAACACAAGAGGATAACAAATAAAAGGCAGAGGAATAGATGATGTTACTGATATTTCTCTCTTGTTTTCTTCTTCTTATATTTTCTGTTCTATGAAAACATGCGAAGTGCTTTATTTATAGAGCAACTCCAAACTGATGCAGTTAATGCATCTTGAAATTTATGAAACTTCGTCTGACTATACAATCTCTTTCACTTTGCATGGGCATTGAAAACTTTGCCCATGCAGAAGACTTTCACAAATGAAACTGTGGGCATTCATTGCCCATGAGACTTTTCAACAGATACACATTAATGACCTCAAACGTAATCCATTATTTTAATCTTAAAACAAATGGAGCAAATATGCCATTAGCGGAAGATGAGAGAGTTCATCCCTTTTCTTCCTCACTAATGCAAGTACCAAATTCTTCCCAACAATATGTTTAAAAGGAACTTTAACTAAAAGCTCTTGGTATTGTTCATTTTAACAAAAAAAAAATCATATTTTTACATTAAAAAGTTAATTATAGTACTATTCACTTGACGCTTTATTTTGTCCTTATCATTAAAACTAAAAAATTTTAAGCACTTTTAATTTGTTTTCCTTTTTATTTTTTCCCTTATAATTCTCTTTTGTTTCCGTATGTAGAATTTTTCAGGTCGACAGACCGATAAACCACTCCAACAACACTGATATTGTCCCAACTTTATCATATGCACAATCCTCAGATATGAGGTTTTATCACAAAAAACTTCGATGTTAGTTAGAGAAATGCATTTCTTTTTAAACTGCTTTCTCTTTGGCTCTATGGCCGATGTGGGACAATGGATTCCAACATCGTATATTAAAATAGCCTAAAATAGAATAACGTTTTATAAAAAGTAAAACTAAAACAATTATCTAGTGTGCCATGGATTCTTCTGCAAATGATTTTGCAGGTCAGAGCATTGGAATGTGAAGGGAAGAAGCTCCGTCCTCTCACTTTGAGTCAAAAGTCGGGCTTCCACGAGTTATTTTCTTTGAAGATTAGCATATATTGGGAATTAATATTTAGGATAAATTACACAGAATTATCTTAATTATTGAATCATTAACAGTTTCATATCTCATCTTTAAAAAGTTTTAATATCATATCTTATCTTCGAATTTGTTGTAATGTCATACATTCCGTCAGTTTTCTATTAATTCTTCTATTAAATGACTTGAAATGGAACCCACCTCCTATTAAAAAAATTAATAAAATATTAATTTACCCAAATCCAAAACCACTCCCACCCACTCCGATCACCCCACCCCTTATCCCCATTTCACCCAAACATCCACCTCACCCAAAACCGGTCACCCCAACCCTCTCCTCCACCACCTCTTCGACTCCCCCTCCCTCCGTTCATCTCCTCCCCTCCCTCTGCTCATCTCCGTCCCTCCCTACAAACCCATCACCCCACCCCTTATCCCCATCAAAATTTTTTCCCGCTCCCGTCTTCCCCCACCCTCCCCGGCCATTCATCCCACTCCCCCACTCTTCTCATATCTCCGCAGAAACAAACAAATTTTGAAAAAAAAAAAAAAAAAAAAAACCAGCCTTTGAAGTCGAGCTGGAGCTTGCACTTGATCTAGTCGTAGAACAAAGCGATGTCGTTTGGGCCGTGGTGCGAGCCTCTACTGCCTCGCAGCGTCGTGTAGTCGAGGAAGCCCTGTAAAAGCTCGATCTCGTCCTCACAGCATTGTGTAGTCGAGGAAGCCTCTGTAAAAGCTCGATCTCGTTCTCGGCGATGGCGACGGGGAGAGAATCCGTGGCGCCGCAGATGACGGAAGGGGTGGCAGAGGAGAATTTAATTGCAACCATATAACTTTAGTGAATTCATGTTCGTAATTAACTTTATGATTATGGATTAGTTAACTATAATTAAATGGTTCTTGCAACATGTATCAGTGGATTCATATGAGATATTCTTATTAACCTAAAATATGAGGAGAGAGGTTTAAACTTAAATTTAGAGGATAGCTCACTGTTCTAGCTAACTTGGTAACGTTCAGATGCACCACTGAAGGGTAGGTTACACCTATTTGAGACTTTGAATCCACCAAATTATTGGCAGGTGTGGAGAGCAGCATCTCAGGCAAAGCTAGTTGGCACGGCAGTGCTTGTTTTTACTGTAGACACAATACTGATCTCTTCCTATGAGACCAAAACCACAATACCAAACTTCATCACAGTCGAAATTCTTCTCCACGCCACCAATCCCATTTCCGGCGGTCACATCAACCCCGTTGTAACCTTATTCAGACACTTGTCGGCCTCATCTCCCTCTCACAGCTGCGGTCTACATCTTGAGCCAATGCGCCGGGGCGGTACTAGGTGTCCTAGCACTCAAGGCAGTGGTAAACAACAGCATCGAAGGAACATTTTCACTCGGAGGTTGCACCCTCGCTGTCATTTCCCCAGGCCCAAATGGGCCCATCATAATGGACATTGAGGCCACCCAAGCCCTTCGCCTTAAGATAATTTGGACGTTTTGTGCTTCTCTTTGCTTCGATTTGGATAGCATTTGACCACCACCGCCAAGTCCATAATTTGGGCCGAGTTGTAGTCTTCTCTATCGTCGGAATAGTCGTCGGCCTCCTTGTTTTAATCTCAACTACAGTTACAGTCTCAAAGGGGTATGCCGGAGTCGGATGTACCCGGCTAGATGTTTCGGCCCTGCACTTATTCGTGGGGCTGCCTTTAGAATGGGCATTGGGTAATTTGGGTTGGGCTCATAATTGCTTGCATATGACGTTTTATTTCTACATTAAGATCATTTCACGTCAGCATTTTCACACGAAGGGCTACAAACATGATAGTTTGAACATTGTGAAGACACTTCCTACGGAAATGGGTTGTAACTATTAATTCTATTTTTGGAAGATCTTCTGTATTAAATTTGTGAGTATGACTCTTTTTTGTTATCAAATGTAGTTTCCTCACAATTAAAGTAGTGAGTTTGATTCCTAGGCAAACTGTTAGCAAAAGTTGTCAATGTGAACGACTCACAAATTCCTAATTGTTGATTGGTGCACATCGAAGGCTGAAATGGACTTTCATTCAACGAGATATTGTCGGTGTAGTATCACAATCATGCACTATCACATATAAAACTTAAAATGCTTGATAGTGTATGACTTGTTTGAAATACTGCCATGATGACATAATGTTGTCTATAACTTTTTTCTTAGGAAACGGGACTCACACTAACCAACAATTCTAAATTAATCGCCTTCATGGATTAAATACCAATCACGGTTGGGAAAGAACTTGTTAATTCGATTGACAAGTAAAAATGTGATGAGATGTTGGGATTGGTTAACAAAGATAATGTGTTTATATGATGAATCGGTTATCTTTAATTGATGACTAGATAACAATTAACTTTATTTAAATCCAGATCCCCTCTAGACCTAAAGGAACTGAGTCCAAAGATTAAATAATCTGGACCATTGAAATTTGATCTAACGGCTACAATTATTATAACTTTTAGAGGGGTTCCCTGTTTGTAGCTGTTGACTCAAATTTCAATGGTTCGGATCATTTGATGAGTGGACTCAGTTCCTTTGGATCCGGAGGGGAACCGGTTCCAATTGCAAGAGATTGTCATTAATTTGGCACCATCCCAACTTGCAAATTCTAGCTTTGTTTTCTAGTCCACTGCATGTGTGCGCGCGCGTGTGTGTGTAGTTTTATCTGACTCTAATGTTCATCGATTTAAGCTCAGAATCTTGGTTTATGCAGAGTGAATATGCCTGCTATTATATTGCTTAAAAATCATCCTCATATATTTCGACTTCCACGTCCAAGGTATTAGCAAAAATTTCAGTCTAATTTACATATTAAAAGACATGCATATGGCCGCTGCCTGTCTTCTTTGAAGAGCAAAAACCTAAGAGTTTTGGAATTTTTACAGATCAAAATCTTTCACAAGGTTTTGGATAAATACTAAATACAAAACTCTTTGGCAACTTCCCTACAACTTATGTAATGGAAAAACATTCTACCCTGAATATTGTTCACCCCATTTTGTTTCAGTGACCCTAATTAGGAGTTCGGACTCCCAATATATATCGTCTTATGTTCTTCTGTGTTTCTTTAAGTATAAACCCTTCAACCCTTTTCTTTTCATATCATCAATTTGAGGCGATGGCGGAGTTTGTCATAATCCAAACTGAAGCTGATCAAAAATTGCCCAAATCAGTTGGAGGAAGTTGTGACACAATCGGTGCCCGAAATTCCTTTGGGCCAAAGTTTCTTGCTGCAATTGGTGCCCATGAATACTTTTCACCAGAGGTCAGCTTGATTTATAATTTCATATGCAACAGAATGTCTAACAATTACTCCGTTGAATAGAAATACTTTGCGTATGATGCCTGCTCTTTATAAAAAGCATTGTATCAACAATTTCAATATTTGTGTCGATAATGTTGATGATGTAATGATAACACGTCAATACATTTTGTTATTGACATGTTATATCTGCCAATGTGTAATCGACGGAATTATCACACAATATCCACAATCCGTCCTTGATAAAGAACGAACTGTCATGTCTAGGGAAGAACAGTTCTATTAGGATCTCAAAAGTTCAATGTTTTGTCATTGTTATAAACTTTAATGTTCTCATTTAAATTCATGTGTGCCCTCTTGATTCAAATTGTTTCAGATGTGGAGAGCAGCTCTGACAGAATTAGTAGCAACTGCTTCTCTAGTATTCAGCCTAAGCTCTTCCATCATATCATGCTTGGATTCAGGTGAAGTTGATCCGAAACTGCTTGTCCCCATTTCCGTCTTCATCATAGCCTTCCTCCTTCTCCTTGTGACAGTTCCGTTATCGGGCGGCCACATGAGCCCAGTTTTCACATTTATAGCTGCGCTCAAGGGTGCCATAACCCTAGCTCGTGCTTCCGTCTACATTTTGGCACAATGTTTTGGCTCAGTTTTAGGGTTTCTCATAATGAAGACTGTGATGGACCAACATGCAGTACAAAAGTACTCCTTAGGTGGCTGCACAATCCATGGAAGTGGGCCCACATCTGGGGTGGGGACACAAACAGCTTTGGTACTAGAAGTTGCTTGCACTTTTGTGGTTCTCTTTGTTGGAGTCACAGTGGCATTTGACAAGAGAAGGAGTAAAGAATTAGGGTTACCAATGGTGTGCGTTGTGGTGGCTGGGTCTATGGCACTTGCAGTTTTTGTGTCGGTAACAGTAACCGGGCGTTCTGGGTACGCCGGGGTAGGACTGAATCCGGCGAGGTGCTTAGGGGCAGCACTGTTGCAAGGAGGGATATTGTGGGATGGTCATTGGGTTTTTTGGGTTGGACCAATTTTGGCTTGTAGTGTGTACCACTGTTTGTCTTTGAACTTGCCAAAGCAGGATTTAACGTCAGTAAAAGAAGAGTGTGAGATTATGAAGGGAGAAAGAAATGTATGAAGGGCTTGAAATTAAACACGTAAAAACATTCTACCTTGAGCTCTACCTTAAGTGGTGTTTTGATCACCAAGTTAGTAGATCATAGGTTGGTATTTTGTCTGTCTGGATTTTTACTAAGAGTAGAGCTTAAGCTAGCTTAAACATATTACAAATCAAAATCGAAAGATACTTTGAATCACTTACATACAAGGCCGGTCCTCAGATTTTAGGGGCTCGAGCGAAAATTAAAAAGGGGCTCACATGCCTATAATAAGATGTAATCATGCAAGATAAGTTATGTGTTTTATGGGACATTTATTTTTTCTCCAAGGATTATATGAAGGATTTGCATTGATTTGAATAAGCTACTGCCTACTGGTACTACTGTGGCGCATGAGAAATCCTTAAAGCACGGATTTGTGGATATGAAACCCATTTAGTAGTAGAAAATCAACATTTTGAATTTATATGTTGAGACAATGAGACCTATACATAAGCTATATCGGTTTTGTACTTCTTGTCTGTCTTCTTTACCGGGTACGTGGCCCTCCTGGTTATAATCGTCAACACAAACAGCAAGCGCCATGGTTGCGGCCACCACAACACACACCCAATTCTCTGCACCTTTTCTTGTCAAATGCAATTGCAACTCGAATTAAGAGAAACACAAAGACCTTCTATGTTCTGGGGAAAATTATTTGATTAGTGTTATGCAGTTAGTTACACAATCTTCTCACGTATATGTAAACTTTTCGGCCCCATAAGACTATCATCTTAAGATGCTCTTTCATTTCTACGCACAGTAAAAACACAGCAGTACGATAGAAGGGTAAATAAATTACCACAAGCTTCTTTTGCATCTGGCAAAGACCAATTACACCAAGTAGAGTTACCATGCATGAACACTTTGGCAGTTTCTGGCTCCATATGCTTTAGTACCAATTTCACTAATTAGCTCAAACCCTTGATGCATTCAAAGTTCAAACATCGGAAATCAGTAACAACATAGTGGACATTCCCTATCTAAATTTGCACAGTAAGAGCATTTCATTAACATGATTACGATAACTAAGCAACACAAACTTGTGGTAGTAACCATTTCCTTAATCAAAAATTTTATTGCCGTTTTTATCTTTGTTACGCTTGATAATCCAGGAGAGCTATGATCTATAAGTCGGGAGTTGGCTGCAGTAGAGTAGAAGCAGCGGTGAGGGGCTCGTGCACAACCGCATTTGAGTGAACTGAGATTGGGTTTCCCTCCAATTGCAACATGATACTCCCCAGGATTTCAGTCAGTGTCTTCTTGAACTCATCTTCCTTAAGCTGCTTTCCGTCATCTGCGTTAAACATGTTGAACGCATCCTGCACAACCTTGTCCATCTGCAGATTTTCATTGTAAAAAATTTATGAACATCTGCTGAAGGTAAAAATGATCAAGCTTGGGAAGCACAGAAGGAAAACGCTGTCTGAGTTCAAATTTCAATTTAAAGAGAACCTGCTCAACTGCACCAAGTGGTGGCAGACCAGCTGTTGGAGCCACCGCTTCCAGTGCCACACGCAAATATTCTTTGGATAATTTCCCACTGCGGTCTTTTGGAACAGTTTCAATAGCTGCATTCAGTGTCTGCATTTCACAAGAGATTGTAATAAGCGATTTTGATGAGTCAGGGCACTCTAAGAAAAATAGGGAATACTTAAAAGGGCATAGATTCCAACAACATTTATAAGTATAATTGGTCAGAAACAAAAGGATGAAGCATCTTTACGAGGCAAACCTTGTCTAATTCAAACTTGTTGGACAACAATCTCTTGACGTCGCTTCCATCAAAGTCATTCTCACTGTGGGCTACAATCACAGGCTGCTCCTGAAGACGATGAGCCACAAACTCTGCTACTTTTTTGAATTCTGCTATGAAAGTATCTTGAGAAACCGGCTTGTCCAAATCATGGCCAGTGCATGATTGCAGAGCAGGTTCCACAATATTGCTCACAACCTAAAGAACAAAAGAAACCAACAAAGAGGAAAAGACGGAAAAAAGCAGTCAAGAATGCATATGTTCAATGCAACATGTAAATTTGTAGGACGAACTGTTAGTACTGAAAAGTCTTAAATTAGAGAAGATCAATCACCCAAGAATCCAATGAAGGGGGCATCCCTTGGTCAACCGTGAGTTTTTCCAAAGCTTTGATTATACAGTCACGGAGAGTTCCATCAGCTGACCTTATCTCAGAATATGTAGCCACCAGCTCCGGTTCAAAAATTGGCCCATCAATGTATTCTAGGAGGTCTTCTCCATCAATACGGAGGATCACAATAGGGTCTCGCTTGAAACCAGCAGCCATGCCTATTAGAATATCCGAAAGAACCTCTTTGAACTCAGTCTTGCTCACTTTTTGTTGTTTCCCATGAGTGAACTCATTCAATACCTAAGAAAAATGGAACAAAGCCATTAATGGTTTTCAAAGAAATCTAGTTTAACTGGTTTTGTTTGGTAAATGTTTACACAATCTACCAATAAGTTTTCTAGTATGGATTCTCAGCTGATTAATCAGCTTTCATTTTCAATGCGGTACAACACTAACGTGTGGCAATGGCATCACTCAAATCAAACATGCGGACATGAGAGTACCTGTGACCGTTGGACCCAACACGTATAGAGGCATACTACTAATACAACGCTTCCATTTCCAAAGTAGGATAATACTCTAAATTGTTATGTCTAATCTGATCCAGACTTGCCAACCCTTAGATGTTAACTATTACTTTTATAAAAAACTTCTCTGCGATGTAACATTGTATTTGACTTTAGAATTGTTCCGATTCCTCAATCATTCACGCGCTGAACAGGGGCGGCATTACTTTAGTAAGATGTCATGTACTTGTATTAATATAAGGTGAAGCTACATGATGAGCTGATTAGGTAAGGTTGTTACTTTGTTCAAAAGCAAGCCCCTCAAACAAATATTTTTTAACTTCTACTCCTTCCCCCACAGAACCACTGCCTTTTAAAAATTAGGCAGGCACCGGCTCCATCACAGAACATCATGACATATTATTACGGCTTTTTTCACGCTAAATCTTCTTGAATAATATAAATTTTCGACATAGTTCGTCAGCAGATTCCTCTTAGCAGAGGAGGATAAAAGGGAAAAAAAAAATTCTAAGCAAAAAAAAAAAAAAAAAAGAAAGAAAAGGTAGGAAAGGGAGGTGGAACTGAAGGGTAAAGTCATATGATATCTGATGTAATTAAGATTGCTGCATTTCATATTAGAACTCTAACTTTGACTATCTGTCGTAAGTTTGCAGTATCATATGAGGATTTAGTAGATTAGTAGAGATTAGCCTGACCATAAAAAAGATTACTAGATATTGACAATACAGAATGCTTAGGTTATCCTGCCAAGAATTAACTATCATCTGATTAATTCAACTCCTAAGTAATTAGACAACAACTCAACGCAAGATCAAAGAAAATGGAAATATTTCTGCATAATTTCAACCGTTGTTAATTACAAGTTTCCCTACCAACCACAACATTCTAGTTTGATAAGAAAACAGCTACCCATGCTGGCATAAAAAATATGACTTATTTTCCTGAAAAATAAATAAATATGTTCTGAAAAATAAGTAAGCAAAAGAAAAAGGATAGTGAAGATAAGTAATAGATGACCATTGTGGTGGCAACGTGGGAGAACGAGTAGCCAGATAACATATTAAAAACAGTATGTCTGACACAAAAATCAATTGGGAATCATTTGAGCGAACCAATTTTTTTAAAATAATAATAAAGGAAATAATATCCGCATTCCTAGTTATATTGTATAGAAAAAGAAAATGATTTTCATTGAACTAAAGGGAGCTTTTACTTGAGAATCGGCTGCGAAAGCCGAAATCTTAAGGAGGGGAAACTAAGTTAGTAGGTACCTCAGAATAGATGTGATCGGAGTCCCGGGAAGAACCCTGAGCCGGCAAGCCAAGAGCAAGGCCAATATCGGCGACAGCAGGGTGGAGCTCGTTCAAAGAGAGGTGGCCGTCTCTGTCCCTGTCGAGCTCCTCAAACTTATGCTCCACAAAGTTACTAAACACCTCCTCGTTCCCAACCAACTCCATTATATTCGAACCGTCCACCACCTGTCCACCACCACTCCCACTCTCACTTTTCTTCTCCATTCCCCCTCCTCTCCTCTCTTTCTTGTGAGCCTTCTTTTCTTCCTCCCCCCTGTTGTGACTCTCGTGACTCACACGAGTTGGCAGTGCTTTTGCCAAAAGAATTTCTTCTTTCTGCTTTAGCTTTTTCAGGGATCACTCTTCTGAGTTCTGGCTTAGGCTTAAATATGAGAGAGATTGTACGGCCTTTAATCTAGAAACATTTTCAAATATATGACTGGAATAAAAATAAATTTGCAAATATAGGTGTCACCTTAATTACTATTTAAGTAGTGACTAGGGGTTAATTTGTAAATTTTGTTTAAAAAATTTGATTTCTCTAGCATTATTACTTTTTTATATTATCTTAATTCTAGCTGATTTGGTTCTCTATAAAAATCAAGTTGATTTTCTTCCTTATGTATACTAATCCTAAACTCCTAATTGATTCGGTAATGTTGCTAACGGAAGAAACGCCAAATATATGTGACGCATAAAAGTTTCATTTGCACAATAAGTAATTATGATAATTTTTTTTAACAAATGATATTATCTATAATAAGAGGAATGGGTTGGGCTTAACCTCACAATGGACTTAACCTCTTACTTATGAGTAATTCTGATAATTCTATTATTAATTAAATACAAGACCAATAATCTTATATAAATATATGGTGTTTTAGTTCTTGAATATCCTACAAGAGATAGATTCCACAACTTCCACTTCTTTCTTTCGTGTTACATTGAATTATACCTCTGTAAGAATGAAATGTCGTGGCAAACCATTAGCTGGTTTGTTTTTAAAAAAGAATAATAAATAAGTCCATTGAATTACACCTCGAGTATAGAATTGGGTATATTTATCCAAATTGTCACATAGTTATCTCCTACCAATTTAATATTAGTTATTAAAAAAAAAAAAAAAAACAAAAACAAAACAAAAGATGAAAATCTTACAAACTATGTCGGCATAAAATACCTTTCCTCCACTAATCATTTTGTAACTTGTTATTACCAAAATAAAATATTGGAAATGGTCTCTCTTAGTTTCTCCCACGTCCTGCACATCAACTTTTGTTTTGGTCGGCGCAGTTCACTTTTGTATGGGGACCAAAAAGTCAAAAAAAAAAAAGAAGGTGAATTAGAAAAACAGATACACGTATGAAACAGAAGCAAACAAGAACAAAGAAAAAAGACGGATAGGGTGGTCTGTGGCTGCAAATTCAAATGTGTGTGGATTCGACACGTGGGGAGGTTTGGGAGACTAAACTCAACCGACCAAACCCAGGGACTGACGGACAATGTGGAGCCCACGGGGATGAGATTTTCGCTCTTTGCTTACTTTTGTCGACTCCTATTGGCCCAACAAGTCGGTCTGCCAGCTAATCTACTTCGATTGCGTGTCATGTACGCATATTCGACACGTGGTGGGTACCAAATACGTTAGAGCAACTCCAGCGTTGGAGCCTTCTCCCCTGGCAATACACTATTCAATCCACCTAATGAACAGTAATTGCCATTAATGAACAGTAAGTAGCCCTGGCAATAGATTTTGCATCTCCATCGTTACACTTCTATAGCCCTGGCAATAGGCAATAAAATATTAGTATTTTTTTTATTTATAAAATTAATACAAAATAATTTTAAATGTAATATCGGATAAGATTTTTAATCGTTCTCGTTGCGCCACGTGTCATTATCCTAAGTATTATTAAATAATACAAAATAATACAATTATTGGTGATGGATTTCTGATAAGATTATTAACCAATCACGTCGCGCCACGTGTCATAATCGGTTCACAATCTTTGAGGATAGATTTCCATCAGATTTTAAACGAATGGCGGCATGCCACGTGTCATAATCTGTTAACAATCTTTGATGATAGATTTCCATCAGATTTTTAACGAATGACAGCATGCCACGTGGCATTATGCAGAACCTAATCCTTTCTGAATCCTCTATATAATCCACCATCCATCATCACAAATCTCACACCAAAATTCTCAAGATCTCTATCATTATTCATAATTTCTGGTTCCTTATTCACAAAAATCAGTATCAATATTCATATTTTCTGTTTCTTTCTTTCAATGTCTTCTTCTTCTTCCTCAAGGATGATGTGGGAATTGAATCAGGAAGAGGAAGACTTGTTTAACCAATCAGAATCAATGTTCAATCACCAGGGGGTAAGAAATGAGAGGGAAGAAGATGAGGAGCGTCAAATGAGAGATGACGAAGTAAGAAGGGGCAGAGCCTCACATTCCCGTCGAGTCATCCAAGCTGCGGCTCAGATCTGCAGGCCCAGGCGTTCCGGAAACCTTGATAGAAGCAGGCAACGACGAGGTATGGAACTCTTGGATGATTATTTTGTTCCTAATAGTGCATTCCCTGATACGTACTTTAGACGTCGTTTTAGAATGGAATGACATTTGTTCAACAAAATCATGATTGCTGTTTGCAACCATGATTCTTATTTTGTGCAAAAAAAAGATGTTTTTGGTGCTATGGGTCTACTGCCGGAGCAAAAAATTACTGCTGCCTTGCGGATGCTTGCATATGGAGCATCTGCAGACCAAGTGGATGAGATAACGAGGATGGGGCAATCAACCATTCTTGAGTCCCTAATGAGGTTTTGCGGAGCAATCGAATCTATCTACACCGCTGAGTACCTCCGCAAACCCACACACATGGACTTGGAGCGGCTGTTGAAGAAGGCGGAGATGCGTGGCTTTTCTGGGATGATTGGAAGCATTGATTGTATGCACTGGACGTGGAAAAACTGTCCAAGTGCATGGCAAGGCGCTTACGGGGACAGAAAAGGGGCAAAAAGTATCATTCTAGAGGCGGTGGCATCTTTTGATACATGGATTTGGCACGCCTTTTTCGGGGTCCCGGGAGCTCAAAATGACATCAACGTCCTTGCCCAATCCCTAGTGTTCAACGATGTCCTGCAAGGAAAGGCACCAAAAGTTACATATGAGGTCAACGGACGTATGTACGACGGGCCATACTACCTAGCTGACGGCATCTACCCGCGCTGGTCAACATTTGTCAAAACAGTGCCACGTCCGCGGAGTGCGAAGGAAAAACACTTTGCAAGCTGTCAAGAGGGGTGCAGGAAGGATGTGGAGCGTTGTTTTGGTATCCTCCAAGCTCGCTGGGCGATCGTCAGGGGTGCTGCCAGATTGTTTGATGTAGAGTCGCTTCGATCCATCATGATGACGTGCATCATTCTTCACAGCATGATTGTGGAAGATGAGTACGATTATGAAGCTGTTGATGAATAAGAGCCAGACCCGATGAACAATTCAAGAACACGTATATATTGTGCTCATGACACCACCGATGACCCCGTGCAACATGAGCCATTACAAAGGGATGGACGTTACAATGAAAGGCTCATTCAACGATATACTGCATTTCAAATGCCAGACATGCACAATGCCCGACAAATTGACTTGATAGAGCACCAGTGCGCATTGAAACAAGCTGAAGATAATTAAGTTCATTTTAGTGTGTTATTTTGAATTTGGTATGTTTATGTTATTTTATTTGGTGTGTTTTATTATTTGGTATGTTTATGTAATTTTTTTATGTTTATGTTTATGTAATTCTTAGTATGTTTATGTTTATGTTTATGTAATTCTTAGTATGTTTATTTAGTATGTTTATGTTTATGTAATTCTTATACAAGGACTTTTAATTAGAACGATGGTCATGGTCATGGACTTTTAACAACATAAATAACTTACCAAATTAAATAACTTACCAAATTAATTCTTAATATAAATAACTTACCAAATTAATTTGAATAAATATTCATGAACATGGAAACAACATAAATAATACAAACAATAAATAATAAATTACAACCCAAAGTGATTGGAAAATTATGGGCTCCGATTACAAAAAGTACTCTATTCATCATCACTTAACCAATTTGTGCTGCTAGGATGATCTTCTCTTGCGGTGCTAGAACCACCTTGGCTTGCTATTGTTTCTCTTGCACGCCTCCTTCGCACCACGTCCGCTTTCTCTGACTTCCAAAAAAATTTAGAATTTGGAGACTTCCCTTCTAAAGACATGTTCATAATCTCACGATCTTGTTGAGCTCGTCTTTCTTCTCTAACATGTTCCCTTTCTTGCCTAAGTAGCTCTCTTTCTCTCTCATTAGCATAAAATTCTCTCTCAACAGCTGCTGCTTTTGATGCCTTATCAGCCTTATCAGCCTCATCTTTCGCCAGTTCCCTCGCCAAAGTCAATTCACCTTGGCGAGTAAGTTCTTCCATGAACTTTGCATAATCGTTCTTGGAAGCACTCCCTTTTCTCTTTGAAGCCTTCTTACCTTGAGGCCTAATTGGAAAACGGGTCGAACCCGACGCTTGTTCAGGGAGGGGCGTTTCGGGCACTTCTTCTGCATCATCTGCTCTCTCATGATCGGGTGTAGAGTGTAGAGGGGTGCTGTTCATGTGCACTTCTGGACCAACTGGCACAACTCTAAATTTAGGACAATCTTTGACAATATTCCAACATTCCCACCGGTTGAATGATTTATTTTTGCTTTTGGTTTTGGCAGCGTACCAAGCTTATGCTTGAAGTTCCTACACAATAAAAATAAGTAACAAATAAATAATACAAATAAATAATTATAATGAAATTAAGTAACTAGCAAATATATACGTATATATATATATAAGTAACAAAGATAATGAAAATAAGTAAGAAGGCTTCAAGTTTAGTAAATAATGAAAATAATTAACAAATATATATATATATGTCATGTTAACAAGCAAATATATATATATATATATATATATATATATATATATATATGTCATGTTAATCATAACATGGGGCTAGAGTTCCAAGTTTAGTAAATAATTTTAACCTTAAATATACACATTTTTTTTTCTTAATGTAAGTGATATTATACATTAATTTTAATGAAAATAAGTAACAAATAAATAATACAAACAACATAATTATAATGTAACAAATAAATGTAACAAATAAGTAACAATAACATAATTATAATGTAACAAACAAATTAATAATACAAACAACATAATTATAATGTAACAAACAACATAATTATAATGTAACAAATAAGTAACAATAAATAATAAATTTTGAACGTAACAAATAAATAATACAA